CAGTGCCGGAGCCCCGCGCTGTCCCTAGCCCGCATTCTTTGTCTGGGCCTCGCATCCCAGCGCTTGGAGCCGCTGCCCCTCGCAGCCCTAAGGGGGAGTGGTCCTGGCAGAGGCTCTCTCTGACTCTAGCCCTGCAGAGTGCTCTCTGCAAAATTGTTGTCCTGTGCTCCCCTGTACCCCGTTGCTGTGAATGAAACGGGGTGTGGGTTAGAACTTTACTCCCGGGAGCCCCTATATAGAAATAATGTGTATTCTGGCTGAGGGACAAGCTGTAAGGTAAGACCCTTTAGCGTTACCACAAAGTAAGTGGTGGTTTGATAATCCACACTCTCAATTTATAAGCAACAATGGTATAGGGCTCCTGCAATTTTGGCTTTGCTACCAGTGTTCATGAACAGCTGTAGATGCATTCATTCCCTTCATGGTTTTCCTTTCCTGCATTTGTTTTGCAGACGATCCTAGGAGAAACTCATGAAGAGGAGGATGAGATCCTTCCACGCAAAGACTATGAGGTGGGGAATTAATCTGATATTAATGTGATAAGAACCGCAGACAGGTTTTGATCTGTTTGAGTTTGTAATGGGGTAGATGCTCAGTATGGATCATTTGGTTGCATTCGCATCAGCAGAAATACGGAGAGTTCTGTGCTTGCAAAGAACTGTTCCTCATCTTTGTGTGTTTCTGGGATAAAGCTCTGTGAGTAGGTTGAATGTTTGCTCTCAAGTCAGACTCTTGTTGAGAAAATTCATTTTCAGAGCCTGGTGCGTTTTCCCACTTCTTCAGTGTGAGATTTATAGGCTCTGGTGGCCTTGTTTTCTGGTGACTATAGAAAGTATCTGTAGATACATGGTCACAGTTGCCCTTCTGCTATCTGTGTTGTCATGCTGGCTCACAGCAGATCTTCCCATAGATTCTGCTGCTTACAGGAGGTCTTTGCTTTTTGCATCACTGTCTGGTGGCCCTGAAGTATTTAGAACAGCTGCTGTCAGTATGGGTGTCACCAGCCCAGCCTGTTACAGCTTGGCCTGAAAAGGTGAAGATGTGGATAGAACTAGTGGAGTTTTGTGAGTGTGAGTGGGAAACTATTGCTGTTAACTCCTTGCTGTGATAAACTGAAGAATTGATATGGTTCATCTGCACAGGAGTTCCTAGCTAGTATTCCTGTTCCAGTGAGAGGGTGAATATAAAGATCCAGTGTTATCTCCTGCACTGTCAAAGTGGAGACATAAAGAAGTCAAAAACTGTACAATGTGACTTCTCTAATATAAAGATGTATAAATCAGCTGTGCTTCTGTTTGTTTCACTGTCTCTCTCAGCTTGAGCAGTGAAATTGTTCCTTCACTTTGTGATTTTCAGGGTCTGACTGATCTAAATATTTAAATTAAGTTGTTTCTAGGAGTATTTTCTCCTACTGTTGTTTGCAGATTCTACTGTGGGGGTAGCAATGACTTCTGTAGTCTTTAATAAGGTCTTCTAGACATAATTTTTTCCATAACCTGTTGCAGCTGATTTTCCTAAATTGACCTTTTTGCCTTTCAGAGCTTGGATTATGATCGCTGTATCAATGACCCGTACTTGGAAATTCTGGAAAGCATGGACAACAAGGTAGGACCTTGTTCTTTTATAAGCTAAAAGTGTGGAAATTGTCCAGGGCAACTGGACAATTGGATTGGAAGTGGATTGGAAGTGTTCAAAACCTTTTTGTGTGTGGCTTTGAGCAGCCTGGAAGGAGAAGGTGTGCCTGTCCATGGCAGGGGGGTGGAATGAGATGAGCTTTAAAGTCCCTTCCAACCCAGATCAGCAGGAAATTTTATGGGTTTTTTTTCTTTATGACTGAAATTCTACATGTTTTCCTGGTTTCTCTGTTATAAAAAATAAAATAGTGGAGATTGTAGCTGCCAGCATCTCTTGTGATCCTCAGGTTTAAAGTGAGCAAGATGTTGAGTCTTTCAGTTTCCTATTTTCAATTCGCTGTTGTCACAACACAATCTTCTGTTCATTTGTTCCTCTGGCTGTTGAGCTGTGGAGCCTAAACCCACCTTCTAGAAAATCCCTGTTTCTGTGTTGCTTTTATTTTACTTATTTTTTCATCCTCTTTCCAAACAGAAAGCCCAGAGATACGAAGCAGTGAAGTGGGTGCTGGTGTTTGCTATTGGAGTCTGTACAGGACTGGTAAGGATCCTGCTGTTTGGGGAATTAGGAAATCTTTCTAAGCAGGAATCATTTAGAAGCCAATGGCTAAGGAGTAAAGTTAAGAGGAAGCATTTTCTTTCATGGTGATTAGAATTTAGTAGATGGAGTTGTCTTTTGGAAATTGTAGCATGTTGTTATAGACTATTTTTTTTTTCTTTCAGAACTTGCTGGGTTTTCTTTGTAAAGTAGTCTGGCAAATCCTTTAATTCTGCATGCAGGAAAACTTTTCCAAAGCAAACAACTTGGTAAAAAAGGATGACAGTTTTTGGCTGAACTGTGATAATCAGCTCAGCTGACTGTATACCTCAATTAAATATCAGTTTTCTTCTGTACCCTTAAGTATGTTGAGGGTGTTAAAAATGGTGCCAGATTAGTACTTTAATGGGAAATAATCAGATGCAGAAGTGAATAATTTCAGGAATAATTCTAGGATGGCTCTGTCCCAGTGAGAAAGAGGGAAGAAATCTGAGTTTTCAAAGCTGCTTTACTCTGAATGATGCTTTTGTCTTCTTCATTTTCTCTTCTCCCCTGTGTACATATTTCTGGTAGGACTAACTAGAGGGTGGTCTTAATTTGTATGTAGAAATAACTGATGGAAATTCTGTTTTCTTTTTCCCAGGTGGGCCTCTTTGTAGATTTCTTCGTGAGACTCTTTACCCAGCTCAAGTTTCAGGTGGTACAAAGCTGTATCTTTTACCTTGGGCCTTGCTAGACTCAAGTGACCTTTTCCTTTCTGTTCCCATTTGCTCAGAACAGCTGACTTTCACAATTTTGCCACTGGGCATGTTGTTCATAATTAAGCAAGTTTTCAACTTGCTTATGTAATTCAGCCCTTGAAACCAAGAAATGTTTCCAGTGTCGGGTACATAAGCAGAGACAGAAAGAATGAGTGGTTTCCCTTCTTCCTAATTCAGTGTTGAGCTTTGAAAAGGAAGCCTGACTTCCTGACAGGATTAGGCTGGATTAGGAAGCACAGGCTTGGTTTTTGAGGCCAGTGGGAGGCTCAGGTATTACCAAGTGGTTGTGTGTTGGTGTGGGGAATGTTGTTTTCCTTGACCATCCCTGCAGCGGTGGAGGAGTGCACTGAGAAAGGCTGCCTTGCCCTGTCCCTGTTGGAGCTGCTGGGGTTCAACCTGACCTTTGTTTTCCTTGCCAGTCTTCTGGTCCTGATCCAAGTAAGCCTTTGGTCCATTGCTGCTCCTTACACAACCTTCCTTTCCTCTCACACATGTCCTTGATATGAAATACCCTTGCTAGAAACACTTTCTGCCCCAAAGCATCAAATTACCTTCACAGTTCTATTTGATTTAGCTAAGCAGGGTCTCTTGGTTCCTTGCTCTCTGATGAGAAGTTGGTCAGGTATGAAATCAGTGCACCATAGTGCCAGTGTTTCTTTTCTGCAGCCTGTAGCAGCTGGGTCAGGAATTCCTGAAATTAAGTGCTACCTCAATGGAGTGAAGGTTCCCGGGGTTGTGCGCCTGCGGACCGTGGTGTGCAAAGCTGCAGGAGTGCTCTTCAGCGTGGCAGGAGGTGAGGAGGGCTCTGCTGTGCTGTTCTTGTTGGGTGAAGGAGTCACTGAAGGGGAAAAAAATGTTTTCTCTGCTTATATAGGGCACAGAAGGCCCTGCCTTTCCAGTAAAATCATTCTGGTGATTTGGAGCAGAGTCATGAGCCCTGAGTGCATTTATAGAGTAGAGAATAAACAGAAGCATCAGGACTATCAGGGAAACAGGTGATTTTCTGATGGGCTAATGACATGTGACTCTTGGGGCAGAATCCAAGAATAAAGACCTGAGAATGTTCCAGGAGCAGCCTGAGGGCAGAAGAGCAGAATAACCTGGAGAGTTCAGAGTCCTTGTACAGTTGTTTTTCAGTTATTTCACCCACTTAGAGTGCAGAATCTGCAAGTCTTTGCAAACATTTGGGGTTGTTGAGTGAGCAGGAGGTCAGCACCTCCCTGTGAGGAGCTGCAGGCTTGGCACAGAGAGATGTTCCATGGCATGGGAGTGCTGAGCTGATCTCTTCTGGCTTTCTCAGCAAGGGAGGGTGGCAGTGGGGAAAGTGCATTCCCTCAATAAACTCTGTTTTTCCAGGTCTTTTTGTCGGGAAGGAGGGGCCCATGATTCACAGTGGTGCTGTTGTGGGTGCAGGCTTGCCACAGGTTAGTGCTGGCCTGAGCCACGCTCCTGGTCACGCCCCTGTTGTGTAAGAGTAAGTTCCCATCTCCTGTGTTTCTAAATCTTTACTTTGTTTGTAGTTCCAGAGCATCTCTTTGAGGAAGATCCAATTTAACTTTCCCTATTTCTGCAGTGACAGGTACTGTACCCAGGATGTGGAGGAGGGGAGAGGAGGATGAGTGAGCAGACTTCCTTGGGAGAAGGGTGGTGGGCTGGGGTGAACCAGTCAGTTGTTTTATCAGTTTCTTTCTAGAGTCCTGCATTTTCATTCTGCAGCAAGACAACACCAGGGTGTCACTCTTCCAAGCTGCTCTGGTCATCCTGTCCATAGATGTTCTCTTGTGCTTCTCAGCAGATCTCTACCCATTTCAAACCTTTAATGTGGGTGGTTGAAAGCTCACCCCTTATGATTAGGATATCCTACAGAGAAGGCTACTTCTGAGTGTGAACAAGTTCTTGCCCTTTTGTTTCTGTAATTGTTTCAAGTGATGCTGGAGTCCATAGTTTGGGATGATTCCTCACATACTGGGCAGTTGTGCAGTACCAGAATTCTGCTCTGTGTTTGTGCTCTACAGAAAGAACACAATGCTGCAATTTAATGAATAAATGGTGGTGTCTGCCATGGCCAGCTTTGTTCTCAACTCTCATCCTGAATCCCTGGGATATTCCATAAATGGGGATGATCCCTTACTTTGCAGAACCTAAGCATCTCCAGAGCTCTAATTTGCTAAACTGAGGTTGTTTTTCTCTTCATTTCAGGGATAAAAGGGATTTTGTATCCGCTGGAGCAGCTGCAGGGGTTGCAGCTGCCTTTGGAGCACCAATTGGAGGCACTCTTTTTAGTTTGGAAGAAGGTTCCTCCTTCTGGAACCAGGGACTTACATGGAAAGTGGTGAGTGGTGATTCTGACTCTTTGTGTGTGCCTTGAGAAGAGGGCTCCCCTTGGTAGGGCTTGTCCATGAGGGCATTCTGATTATCCTGCCTCTTCCTGAGCTGCCTTGGCAGGAGGAAGGTTGCCTGTTCTGTCAGTGTTCCAGAACTACTGCAGATCAGGGGCAGAGATGAGCCCTGATACCTGATTTGGTATTATCTGGAACGGTGGGACAGCTTTAGGCAGCAGGTTTGGTGTACCTGGCAGAGTGGGCTTTTGTGCCTGGGCTCTCTGCAGTCTGATCCCTTCCACAGTCAGTTCCTTGGCCCAGGCATGGGTCTCAAGGAAGAGCTGACTGTGCCAATCTTAATTTTGGGAACCTTTGCTTCCCCTTCTTTTTTATTTTTTTTTTCCCCACAGCTTTTCTGTTCCATGGCTGCCACTTTCACCTTGAATTTTTTCCGCTCTGGGATTCAGTTTGGAAGCTGGGGGTCTTTCCAGCTCCCTGGGCTGCTGAACTTCGGGGAGTTTAAGGTGAGATTTACTCTTATTTCCCCACTCTTCAGTCTCTTGTTAGTCCTGTGCTTCTGTCTGTTAGTTTGGAGGTTTCTTTTGACACATAATTGTATTTCAGTGGAAGGCACTTTATACTTACCTGCAACACATTGATATCCTCAGAATTGTTGCCTTTTGATTTTAGCTACTCAAAATCTCTAGGTGTGGAGACAGAAGTGTTGGTAGGAAATTGCAGCAATTACTGTAATCCTTTTTTTCTACACTTTTCTGCACAGTGCTCTGAGTCTGATAAGAAATGCCACCTCTGGACAGCTGTGGACCTGGGCTTCTTCATTCTGATGGGGATTGTAGGAGGCCTTCTTGGAGCCACCTTTAACTGCCTGAACAAGAGGCTTGCCAAGTACCGCATGCGCAATGTGCACCCCAAGCCAAAGCTGGTCAGGTGTGTGTGCCCTCTCCAGTTTGTGCAGGATCTCTGCTCCCAGAGCAAAAGAATCAGTCTAGAAGACCCTTTGAGTAGGATTGGAGCAAATCTCAGCCTGGTTGTTTTAAAAATCACTAAATGAATCCTCCATAGAACTTAAAAGTGAACACCAGAAACAAATGTTACAGTCCCTGTAATTTTTTGATGACTTTGGTGGTACAGAGAGAATTGCAATCCTTCTTATAAGAGCAGTGGAGGAAGCTCTTTATCATAAAGGCTGAACAAACCAGAGCTTTGTCTCCATGCAGGATTTTTTTGTGTCCTTGTCCAAACTGATGTGGATGAAATAGCTGATCTCACTCTTTAAAATCATATTGATTAATTAAATTCACAATATGTGTGTTGTTTAGAGAGGGAACTTCTGTGTTATTCTGAAAGCAGCTGCTTGTTTGCTCTGGACAGCTCCTAAACACAAAGCCCAGGTTTAAAGAGAAAAACAAGTGTATTTCAGCAGTTAGAAAAGAGATTGAGAGACTGCATCATTCTGCCCAGTCCTATCTACCCTTTTACCCTGTAAGGATGTACAGAACATTGATTCCATGTGAACAGCCCCATTACTGAACCCTGGGGCTTTTCATGTGTGACTGCTGTGTGTTCTCTGAGTAGAAATAGTTCCTTTTTGGGGCAACCAGTTAAAAAGGGGAGCTAAGGCAGTCCTTGAGAACCAAGTCAAAATTCAACTTGATTTGCAGTGTCCCTTGTTCTGATGCTAAGCTGTGGTGACTGTTGCTTCTTGCAGCTTTATCAAATCATCTGCAGAACTGGGACTGGGTTACAGTGCTGAGTGTGGCTTCAGTGCATGGTTTCTGTTGTGTCTTTCAGAGTCTTGGAGAGCTTGCTTGTGTCATTGACCACCACTGTCATGGTCTTTGTGGCCTCCATGGTTCTGGGGGAATGCCGGCAGATATCTTCCAGCAGGCACGGTGGCAATGACACCCTGAGCCTGCAGGTGAGGGGTTCTTCTGTGAATATTATATTCCATGTCATGTTGTTCACCCTGCAGAGAAGCACAGGCATGCAGTGAGCTTTTGACAGCCTGCAGTGCATAACAGAGCTGCAGTGAGAGCCCATGGAGGGTTGCAGGAGCTGTGGGTAATAATGAAACCTGCATTGTGCTTTTGTACAAACGACTCAGGCTCTGAGTCAAGGAGCACATTGATTTGTAGGCCCCATTTCTGCTGTTGATGTTTGGTCTGTCTTCCCAAAGCATGGCTGTCCTGGGCTAACAGTAACAGAAGTGTTATTTCCATTCTCCCCAAAGGCTAATGTATGAGACAGTGAATTTTAACCCTTTGTGTCTTTTGTGTTCTGCATTAGGATGTATCAGAGGATGTCAATTCAAGCATCAAAACTTTTTTTTGCCCAAATGAAACCTACAATGACATGGCCACGCTCTTCTTCAACCCTCAGGAGTCAGCTATCCTGCAGCTCTTCCACCAGGATGGTAAGTGGTTACAAGACTGCCTCATCCCACACTTAAGCTTCAGTTTCATCTTAGCTGGAACAGCACCACAAGGCTAGCAGCATCTTCAGGCCTTCATGGCTCTGGAGGCCTGCTAGTAAAACTGGTGAAAGTCTCTTTGATGGGAAGAAAAACCTGTTTTTCCTCTCTTTTCACTTACTCATTGTCTGCACGTGTGTTTGGACTGGGAGACTCAGTAGCTGTTGTGAGATGAGCCTGCTGTGAGCTGAGGGGTGGATGGTGCATGGACAGACATGTGCCCCTTTCTTTAGTCATGATTCTTCTTGTGTTGCAGGTACTTTCAGCCCAGTCACCCTATCCCTGTTCTTCCTTCTCTATTTCTTACTCTCCTGCTGGACATATGGGATCTCTGTGCCCAGTGGTCTGTTTGTGCCATCACTGCTTTGTGGGGCTGCCTTCGGACGCCTGGTCGCCAACCTCCTCAAAAGGTGCATCAAGTGTGCGTGTGAGGGACATGCTGCAGGTGCACCATGAGCTCTCAGGCAGGTTTTTCTAATCTGAGGGCTCTGTGCTTTGCTCTAGTTACATTGGTCTGGATCACATCTACTCAGGAACCTTTGCACTGATTGGGGCAGCAGCATTCCTGGGAGGAGTGGTGCGCATGACCATCAGCCTGACTGTCATCCTCATTGAGTCCACCAATGAGATCACCTATGGGCTCCCCATAATGATCACCCTCATGGTGAGTGCAGCACCAGTAGCTCTGGCTTTTTGCAGAATGCTTGAATGTGTGCTGGCTGTGAATCTTTGTTACTTTCAGGGCTGTCATAAGCCAAGGGGTGTTGCACTTGGAACAGTGACTTAGTAGACCTCATGTTTGCCATGCAGGTAGCCAAGTGGACAGGAGACTTTTTCAACAAAGGCATCTATGACATCCATGTGAACTTGAGAGGAGTGCCTCTTCTGGAGTGGGAAACCGGGATGGAAATGGATAAGTAAGGCTGCTCCTCTTGGCCAGGCTGTGGGTTACAGTTTGTGGTGGGGATTCTTGTTTAGAAATGCGTTAATGCAGGGGGGTGATGCTTCATCTTCAACCAACCTGGTTGCTCTGAGGAGCTGCTGTGGAAGGAGTTGTGCACCAGACCAGCAGCAGGAAAGAGATGCTGAAGCCCTTTCTGAGGGGGTGGATGGATGGATGGAAATCTGCAGGGTGGGTTTGGGAAGTTCAGCAAATGCTTTGTGAAAATATTCCATTGGACTTCTTGTGGAACGTCATCCTCTTCCCAGCTGTTGTGTCTTCCCAGTAGTGTTTAAAAACTTTATTTGTAAGTTAGAACATTCTACCTTTCCTTTCATTGATACAATGTTATGTTATAAAAAAAATAATTAAAAAATCAGGTGTACAATCACTGCTGATACCACAGTGAAGGTGCGTGCACAGGTAAAAGGAGCCAGCAGAATTTAACTGCAGCAGACTCCTTCAGGATCTTGTTTAGGGACTGGTTTGTTCATCACCAGCCTTTTGTCACTGATGTGATTCATGCAGCAATCTTGGATTTCTGTTTCTTCAGGCTACAAGCCAGTGACATCATGGAGCCCAACCTGACGTACGTGTACCCCCACACCCGGATCCAGTCCCTTGTCAGCATCCTGCGCACCACTGTCCACCACGCCTTCCCTGTGGTGACAGAGAACAGGGGCAACGAGAGGGAGTTCATGAAGGGAAATCAGCTGATCAGTAACAACATCAAATTCAAGGTAAAAAAGGGTTGTTTGTTTGATACGTTGAAGAGAGCTTTGTTTTGCATTCAGAATGGCCTTGCTTTAGCTATTTAAGCTTGTGGGCAGAATTTGGGTCAGAGATAAACACCTACTGCAATAGAAAATTTTTAAGAACTCCATTCTATTGTCGGGGTTATGGTGGAGACAAAAGAGTGGGCTGCATTCCCAGAGGGAAAAATTAAGAAGAAAAACTAATCTGTTTAGCATAGACACGGAAACATTTGGATTTATTACTGAATTGCACAGTCCTATTCTTGCAAGTCCTGCAGCAGCAGTGGCTAATGAACATGTTATGTGGTGGCACAACTCTATGATTAGTAGTTCATAGTCACTCTTGGATAACTGTTGACTTGCTTAGTGGGTGTCTGAAAATTGTTTGTTGTATCCAGAAATCCAGCATCCTGACCCGGGCTGGAGAGCAGCGCAAGCGGAGCCAGTCCATGAAGTCGTACCCTTCGAGTGAGCTGCGTAACATGTGCGACGAGCACATAGCAACAGAGGAGCCTCCTGAAAAAGAGGATCTGCTGCAACAGATGCTGGAGAGAAGGTGAGGTCCTGGTAGGCACAAATGTACAGAAGCAGGGTTTTTCCATATGTTGAGGTGTGTTGTAAAGAATGTTTCATATGTCAGTGGAAATAGGGCTGGTATCCATGTTTTAAAGTGATTTGTCAGGTGTGAGGAGCCAGTGCTGTGTCTCACACCTGTGACCAAGTCCCAAGCAAGTGGGTTATGTCCAGCTTTTCACATTTACTTCAAACACTTATACAGACATATTTCCTTGAGAGGATGAAGTACCTGGAAGGATTTCTGTAGAAATCAATGTCCTCTTATCTGCAAAAATGCGAGAGCTCTGTAAAGCTCCCTTATCCCAGCTAATGACCTGGTGCCATGATACTGATCCCACCTTTCTGGTAACTGGGCTGAGTCACCAGGCTTGTGTTTCTGTTACTCCCAAGTAGAAGCCCAGTCTAGTGAATAATTTTCTACATAAGAGATTGTGACTTTCATGAATGGCATCCTGACCCAAATATTTTGCCAGATGCTTCAGCTTTTATTAGAATCTGAGTAATTTGGAACTGAAAATTGCTTTAATAGCAAATCATGTGAAATTGAGTTAGGAGACTGTCCCACATAATGGCTCTTGACCTCTCTCCCCTCTATTTTTTTTTTTTATTGTGAATTCTTGCTTGTCCCTAGCAAGAGTCCCTGAAATATTCAGGGGAAGGTTGCAAAGAGCTGAAACAGCTGCTCTTTTGGGGTATGTGAACCTTGTAACACATGGTGTTAAATCCATCACAGATACACTCCTTACCCCAATCTGTACCCTGACCAGTCTCCCAGTGAGGAGTGGACCATGGAGGAACGCTTCAGACCCCTGACCTTCCATGGCTTGATCCTGCGCTCACAGCTGGTCACCCTCCTTGACAGGGGGGTTTGCTACTCTGAGAGCCAGTCGGTGAGTCCTCCTCTTCAGAAAGGGCAGCAGACACATCCCTGCCTTCTCAGGAGGCTGGGAACAATCTTCATGGGCTGCCAAAAAGAATATATCTATTTTTACACTTTAAGGAAGGCATGTGTGTTTTTAAAGTTGCAGATGGGTAATGTGAAGTCTCCCTTGCACTCTTAAAGGAAGTTGAAAATATCTCCAGGAAAAGGATAGCCACTGTTAAAAAAATTCATCCAACAGACCTGTTTGTTGCATAAAGCTATGGAGAATATATGATATGAAGATAAGAAATAAAGACATGCAGAACTGGAGAACAGAGGGCAGATATTAAATGCAAATAGAGCATCCAGCAGTATATACTTTGTATTTTACTGCTGTGTGTTGAGGTCCTAGCAGAAAAATGTCAGCTGTGTCGCTGAGATCAGGCCCAGCTCCCACAAGGCTGGTTTCCTGCTGTCCTTCAGTGTCAGGTGTAGATTTGTCAGAGGCTGGGTGTTGTGGTGTGTTTTTAGCTGGGGAGCTGGTTTGTCTCAGCTGAAGGCCTGCATAGGTTTGGGTAACAGCACCTCTGCAGAAGGTGGGTGTGAGGGTGTGGGAGGAGAAGGAGATCTGGGGGAGCAATTAGGAGGCATGGTTTGCTGTGCTTGCAGCCCCTGTGTTGTCTGGAATGGTGACACAGGGGCTCAGTGGGGTTTGTTTTGATTGCAGAGTGCAAGTCAGCCTCGTCTGTCCCACGCAGAGATGTTGGAGGATTATCCCCACTACCCAGATATCCATGATCTGGACCTCACATTGCTGAACCCTCGTATGATAGTGGTAAGATATGCACTGCAGTGTGACAGTCCCTCCTCAGATGTATATTTACAACTGTCCAAAGCCTTTAAAAAACACTGAGGGCATATTTTAATATATTCTTTGGCACAGTGACCAACATCCTGTGCTCCTCAAGCACTCAGCCCTCTCTGCATGTGGAAACCCCCTGCTATGAGGTACCAGTGTCCACTGGTGCTTTACTTCTAGAATAAGGTGTTGCCTGTCCAGTTAAACTCAACAAACCAAACCGAAATAATGTCATATCTGTGCAGAAATAGAAGAAGACCACAGTCAAATACTCTGACCAGGCATCAGTGCCATGCAGGACTTGTAGGGGTTGCATGTTAGTAATTCCCAGAGACATTGATAATGCATCTTGTAAATAACATGATTGCTTTTCTTTCTTAGGATGTCACCCCATACATGAACCCATCACCCTTTACTGTCTCTCCAAATACTCATGTGTCACAAGTCTTCAACCTGTTCAGGACAATGGGACTCAGGCATTTACCAGTTGTGAATGCAGTTGGAGAGGTGAGTCCTTGGCTTGGCTTAGCTGAGCAAGGAGGCCACAGTGTTTGTGCAACATTTTCCATCTTTGGGACAATAAAGATCTCTTTTAACATCAAACAGAAATGCTTTAAAGAGATCAGAATAGGATTTTTTCAGGGCCATGAATGCTTGATTGCTGTGACTTTGTCGGCATCTTTTGTGTCCTGCTTGTTTCCCCTTTACCTGCAAAGAGCAGGATGTGCATCTCTCCTGTCTCAGGTGTGCAGCTGTAGAAGCTGTCCCATTTTTCTATCTGTTGAGAGGCCCTGAGCTCATTAGAGGCCACTAATTTGCCTTTCCTTTCACACCTTTAAGGCTAAGAGCAAAATTTCCTTTATGTTGGGGCAAGAGGTTTTTCTGTAGGAAGGGAGTTGTATTCTATTTCCACTCACAAGAGCAGCAAAGCAAAGGAGTGTTTAAATGGTCTGTGCTTGACTCACTGTCCCTTTGCCATCTACAGTGCTCAGAAACAGTCAGTAGATGTCAGCAGCCTCCTGTAACCACTGTGAGAAGCTGTTTCCCCTAAGCTGACCTGGTCTGTGAGAGGCAGCACTGCTTTTTGTACCTCAGGGTTCCCACAGTGACTCTGCAGGGCCTGTGAGTTGCAAAGGAGATGTTAGCTTATTCCATTTTAGTACAGATGCTTGTGGTACTAGAGAGCAGCCTAGTTCTGGACTCTTTCCATGTGTAAAATCAGAGAGGGATTTTACCAGCTGAGATGTGTGGTTTGGCTTTATCCACAGCAGGCTGGGAGAGGGTCCCTCTTGTCACCTGCCAGTGTGCCTTAGCTAATCTTCAACACTTCTCTGTTTTGGTCTTTAGAGCTTCCTTGAATGTACCTGACAGGAGCTATCTGAGGTCATGCCATGTGGAATACCAGAAATATCTTGAATGAAGCCCTAAAAGACCCCTTTGTTATTTCCAATTGCAGTTTTTACTTCCCAGAGGATTTTACACTCTTGTGCTGTCTGACATGGAAAGGATTTCCCTTCCTAGGCACAGGGTCCTGCTGCTGCCAGACACCACAGCAATGGTCAAGCTGTTTGTTTGGGTGTTGTTGTTTGGTTGTAAGTTGTTTGTTTGGGTACAGTTAAATCAGCATTCTTGCCTGAAGAGTAAGTGCTGGTAGAGGGAGGAATGTTGTTTCTTTGAATTTCAATTTGAATCCACTCTAACTTAGCATTGGTCAAGAACTGCTCTCAGGTTTCCTCTTTTTGAGGTGTTGAAAAGAATGATCACTTGTGAAAAATGCCAATCATTTGTTGTTAAAATTTTTGAAGTTTAATAGTAATAAAATGGTTATAAAAATAGTAATACAATTAGAGTAATAATAATTTGGACAGTTTGAATTAGGACAATATGAGACAATAAATACAAAGAATTACGGATGTCCAGGTACGTCTTTCTGGGCAGCACGAGCCCGAAAAAGGACCCACGTTAACGAAGGATTAACCCTTAAAAGCAACAGCCTGTTGCATATTCATACACCTCATCCATGATGCATAAATTCCATTCAAACACAGGATTCTGTCTGGGCACTCTCAGCTTCTTCCTCTGAATCCTGACAGCGCCTTCGAGGCAGGAAGAAGTTCATTTCTCCTGATAATGGAGCAATAAATTCTCTTTCTCTGAAAGATTCAGGTGCCCTGTGGCTGCTATCTCACTGCGAGTCCTTTCTTTAAAAAAAGTATCCTACATAGCATAGTTTCTATTTTAACATTTTTTATAACCTAAAACTATATTTAACACACTACTTAAGAAAATTAATACAGCATTACCCTCTAACACAACGCATATAACATTCATTTTAATATTTGCAAAAGGCCAATCATTAAATACATGCATTTTTCACACACTTTATTATGGATGTCTTTCAGTGGCACATCTCTGACACAAACTTGTATCTTTTCTTCTTCTTTCCTTCCTGTTTAAGGTTGTTGGGATAATCACTCGGCACAACCTGACGCACGAATTCCTGCAGGCCAGGCTGAGGCAGCACTATCAGACCATTTGATGCCCCTGCCCCTCTGTCAGTGTGGTTCCTCCCTCTCCAAGCTGGCTCACATGCTCGCATCCTGCTTGGACCACACAAGGCCCAAGACCTCCCGTTTGGCTTCTCACGTGCATATCAAGCCTGGGGAACTGGAAAACATTTTGCTAGCCAGAGAATTCGAGGAGCTGCCTGAGCCCAGAGCTGTTGATTGGCCTCAGGCACTTGGTGTGACAACTCTTGATCCAGGTGTTTTCTTCCCCTGTCCCCCAGTTATCTCCTTCTGTCAGATGTCCTGACACCACTGTGTGTTCTGCCATTTTGTTTTGGGGTTTTCTGAAGAGTTGGAAAAAAGAACCATTTCCCTCCCCTGTGTCCTGGGCAAAGAACTGCAATGTCTTTCCCTTCCTCCTGTCTGACTCCCTTTTCTTCTTCCTCCCTTGTTCCTGCAACTGTTGCCTTATTTGTGTGAGAAGGGAGTTGCTGTCACCACTGAGCGGAGATACTGAAGGTTGCAGATATCAGATAGCTGCTCTCCAGGATGGTTCCTTGCAAAAGCAGTTTTAAAAAATCCAGCGTTTTGGAAATGCACCTGTCTTTGCAAGTGTTCCCCTTTGCCCATATTTTTTTCACTCTGGCTTCATTTGTTCTTAATTTCTCTCCTTTTTTCATAGGGAAATGTTTCTGCTGTGATGTTTTTGACAGCAGATGACTTGAGAACAGCTCAGCAGATTTGAAGTTCAAAATGGTTACACTAGGTTTATAAATATTTAATACATTTGTGAACATCTCAGAGAAAGGAGATCTCTTCCCTGTTAGCTGTTGCTATTATCTCCCTGTAAGAGACTCTTCTAAGATGCTTGGTGGCACTCCACTTTGACATTTCTTGGGGTTTGTAGGCACTTTGTCCCTGCACTGCTCAAACAGTGAGAGCCTGGGGCACCTTTCCAGCTGGAGTCAGAGACCAGGGAACTGCACATCCTGAGAGCATTTCTCTCCATCTCCACATGGAGAAATGTTGCTTTGTGGAAGCAAATAGAGCTGATGGTCCCTGGGCTTGCTTGAATCATCTCTGTGTCATGAGAGGAGTCGCTGTAGTTCCAGGCTGCCATAAGGAGGGATGGTGGTGACTAAGGCAGGTGATAAGTGGGGCTGTCTGTGCTCTGAAAATGCTTGGGATCATATTTGCAGCAATCTGTAAGGGTAAAATCAGCCCTCAGGAGCCAGTTGCAGCCAGTTGAGTGCTTTAGCAGGTACCATCCTGGCCAGCACCTGTATTGTTCCAGCAGGCACCTGCCCTGCTGGGTTCTGTGTGCAGATAACCCTCAGTGGGAAGCCAGTGCTGTGCCTCAGGGACTGCAGGGCTGATTGGCTTGATAAAGCACAGAGCATTCTCTCAGCCAAGAGACATGGGGAATGTATTCCAGAAAAGCTTCTACACAGCCTCTGAGCTCTGCAGTTAACCCTTTGCCTGCCATAAGGAGCTGCCTGGGTGGCAATTGGGACAGAAGGCAGACTTTGTTGATTTTCTGTATTTCATTAGAGCATAGGAGTTGGCATCAGGTGCTACCCTTGATTTGTGAGTTCTTTCCCTGTAAGTAGAGTGAGGATGTTTGTTCTGTCTGGATAGGATCTGCAGGTGTTGTCTGAAATGCCTGTGTTCCCTGAGCCCTGCTCCTGCACTGAGCTGTCCCTGCAAACTTCCAGCACCCATTTGCACTCCCTGAAGCTGGGCTGTAGGTTTGAAATATGCTTTTGTTAGGCTACCTGGTTTCATTCAAAGGATCTGGGTAATTAGGAATCACAGGAATCCTGGTTTTGTGGGATTTCAGATCACATAGGTGGGATTGGCAATCCTGTACTGTTAGAACACCTGTCAAGAATGTCCTGTGTCTCTCCATGACAAATGTTGAGTGAGTGTGTGTGGAAGGGAAGGTTCCTTCTCTTCCTGCACATGAAGGCTCCTTGGGTTGTTTGCCTTGAGCTGGTCCTGTTTTATTTCTGTACACAAATGGCAAGGTGTTTTTCTGCAGGATGAATTTGTCATTGCTGCTGAGACAAGAGTTGGGCAATCCAGACAAACCAGGCTGGAGAATCTTATCAAGGTTTTTCTGGGCACCAGATGCTTCCCCATGACAAGGCATTTTCCTTCCATCTGTTGGCAGCACTGTCTGCTCTGCCTGGGCATCTTATTCAAATGTTTCAGCTGAAAAACACCCTTTCCTTCTTTCAGTAAAGACATTTTCAGTGAGGGTGGTGGGTGACCCTGTCAGCTGCTTTAAAGGGAAATCTCAGTGTGCAATTACTGTTCTGTAGCCTGCAGAAAAGGAATGACAAGTTCACCTGACATTTGGAGATGCAGTATTTCCCTTCTGATGAGGACTGATGCCAAGGGGTTTGTGTTGAATCATCTTCTCACACTTCAGTTACTTCAATCCTTTCTTACAACACACTCACTGCTTCTACCCTGGCTGTAGTTGCTAAGTGATTTACTGAGGAACTTATTCTAACATAGGTGCCAGGAACATTTTAACAGAGCAACACTAAGGGAAAAATAACCCAGAACTGGGTGAGTTCTGATGGCAAGGTTAGGGGCTTAGTTCCTCCTTGCCTTGTGGCTTCCTGTGCAGTGTTAATTATGCAGTTTTGAATTATTAATTACTGTGAACCATTCCAATGGTATCAACTTACCTTTCCATTTGGTTTTTTTTTGCACTGTTTTTTTTGTTATGAAATGATGTAAGCTAATTCCATGGTGTGTGTATATAAATTGTATTTTTTTTATAATTTGTATGAATATATTTTTATTTGAACAATGGCACTTGGGAAGTATTCATGTAGCTGTAACATGTCTGAGAGTAAAATGTTTGTGTGTTTCCTTCAGCACTTTCAAGGCCTTTTGATGTTTCTAGTATTGTTTTATTTTTGCCCTTTATGATAATAAAACCAGTAGAACATGGCAACATCCAAGAGCATGATTTGAGGTAGTTGAGTTGTTGGTATTTATGAGCTGTCTGGATTTACCAGTTTGTACAGGAGGTGCTTTTAGAGAGGAATGGCTGTGATGCATTAGCTTGTGACCACTGCAGTTCCACATTCTCACCACAGCTCTTTCAGAGGAGGGAATTTGATAAGGATAAATTGTGCACATTGTGCTGCTTTTCTTACCTGACAACTCACCTTCTTCCCAGTAAGTTAATGAAAGAGGTTAAAACTACAGTGTGTCACTTACAGTTGGCTTCTCCAGGGTATGAAAAATCTTAGTTTCATCTTGAATATTTATTTAGTTTATGCCTATCTTTCCTGCTTTGTCCTGCTGTCTGCCTTACAGAAAAGAATTAGTGACAATTTTTGAGCTTTCATCTCATTTTGGTTTACAAGCCAAAAATGTAAGTAGAGTCTTTGAGCTCTGTGGAAATATCTGACCCAAACCTCCCTTCCTTTCCATGTTTCTGTGCA